GTTCTTCCTCACATCTTGACTTTTATTTCTGCTCCTGCCACTCACCAGTAATCTGCCAGCAGGTGAATTCACTGCACAGTGTTTCTGCTTCCCTTCAAATTTCTCATCTATTTAGGTAATAGATTTGCAGAGCAATAGCTGTATTTAGATACAAAGTGGGTCTGTGCCCAACAAGTGCCTCTACCTTCTGCTGCACAACATTACTGCTAATCATCAGCTTGGGCTCCAGCACATGCACAGTCACATGCTTCTGAGATGGCCTCAGCTTCTCTCATTACAACATCCACCTTGGTGTTTTGTATTTTAAACCAGCCTGCACTGGAACAAAGAAATTGTGTGTCTGACAAATGATGCCAAGGCACTCCAGCTCCTGCAGTGCCTGCAGGATGCAGTGGTGTGGCCACAGCTTCAGGCTCAGGCAGAACAAAGGGAATTGATAAAATAGTGTTCAATGAAGGGGTGTCTAATTATACCTATGTGCAACACTTCAGACATATACCATGTCCAAAGTATCCTGTTGTTCATCTGATGGCATCGACTTAATGATCTCTCTAATTATTAAAGGAGAAGTAGGCAGAAAGCTTCCTTAGGATTGGTTCTGTCACAGTAACTGGTTGTTACTCTGGTGATGTCAAACAGGCAACAAAATGATCAGCAAGATAGAGTGGGCACAGACAACAAAAAGGTCGTAGGAACAAGCTGGCAGGTGGCACTGAACTGAAACCTGAACTGCTCACCTGAAGACATGCCTGGTGTTCCTCAAATTAGCCTCTCAACTAAGATATGTGCACAGGAGTATACATGTGTGAAAGACCCTGAAGCATAAACAGCAGCAGAGCACTTGGATCTGGAAGCTCTTTCCTTAAAATAACTGTTTGCCTTCACATCCCAGTCACCTGTAGCTGTTGGTGAGGGAAGGTGGGGAGACTTGAATGTTTCAGAGAAAGAAAGAGGAGAAAAACCTGTGTTTGTGGCCTCTGCCACCATGTACTGAGAGATTACTAAGCAGAAGGTTCAACAGGTGACTTGACTATCATCTGAGAACTTCAGTGACCTCATGTTGCACCGAGGAAGGTTTAGATTGGATATTATCAACAATTTCTCCCCCAAAGGGCTGTCAGGCCCTGGCCCAGGCTGCCCAGGGCAGGGGGGGAGTCCCCATCCCTGGAGGGATTTCAAAGCCTGTAGATGTGGTGCTGAGGGACATGGGGCAGTGGTGGCCTTGGCAGGGCTGGGGGAAGGGTTGGACTTGGTGATCTTAGAGGTCTTTTCCAACCTAGGTGATTCCATGACCCTGCACACAGGGCAGGCAGGGTAACAGCAAGATCCTTTAAGCACAGAAAGGATTTCCAGACATACAGTACCAGTCACACTGGGCTTTTTCCCACTTGCTGAGTACCACTTCCTCAAGCACAACCTGCCAATTTTCATCCCCTGTGACAAATGCTCCTTACAGCCTGCAGAACTCCTGCTCCACAGCAGCTGTAGGGGCAATCAGCCTGGGCCAGCAGGCTACTCCCTGCAGCCCAGTCTCCTTCTTCCCTCCCAGCCACCAGGAACTGTGTCAGTCCATGGAGGGAACAGGAAGCCACTATGCACTGGTGGCCCAAACTCCCTCCCAAAGCCCACCCTGCTCCCAGAGCAGCCCAGCTGGGGTGCACATGTCCAGCAGGGAAACACTTCCTGACTGTGCTCAGGAGTCCATCCATCCCAGGGAACCTGACAAATCACTCCACCTGTCACACAGCAAACACCTGAACCCAGTGAGCCAAATCAGGAGTGAAAGGAGATGGAAACCCACAGCTGCTGTGAGCCTCAGGTACTCTCCTAAGGCATCTCTCCACCACTAACAGCCAAGTTCAACAAAAACCTCTAGTTATGCTTACAGATCCAATCGATCCAGAGCAGCCAAGTTCCCAGGAATTTTACTTTTGGATCCCACCATTTGCAGCTGAACTTAAATAAACTTGTAGCCACTTGAACTACAATAACCATGGTGACCGTTTGCCACCCTACAGACACTTCTGTTTGTCTCTCCTTTGCCTCCACTAGGTAGGCATCTCCATTACCTGCCTCCAGCTTTAAATCAAAAACAGGTGGACAAGCTAGGACTGCTCTATACCATTTCATTTTCATTACTTTGGATTTATCCTGGATTACTCTGGATTTAGAATTTATGTAACTTCTCTGAAGTTACAGCAGGTGATGTTCTGCCAAAGAACTTCTCTATCAGATGGAGTCACACCAAAAGAGAAAAGTTTTGCCTTGGAGTCATCAACACATCAGTCATTGTCTTTAATGAGTTGTTGCAGTAATTATTATATATATTTAATCTTGCCCTTGAGGATGGTTGCCACCAAGCTCTTGATGAGAAAGTGTGAATCCTTCTCATTTTTCAGGCTTGTTACTTCGGAAATTACTCCAGAAGAGCAATTTCTGTTAATGTAGCAAGACATCTTTCTCCCAAACTAAACCCACAATATTAGTAAGGAGGAAATAATGGATTCTTAATGCAAAATCAGCTCATGCTCACTTGTCTTCAGATGGGAAGAGTGATGGTATTTGATGCTCCCCCATTCCTGTAGCATAAACACACTTCTGCTGCAGGTGAGGTCTAATATGGTCAGAGACTGTTGAGACTCCAGCAGCAAAACTGTTGCTGTGACACATGGGAGGGGTAACAAGTCTCATCCTCAGTCCTCACGGAGGTGAGTGAGACATTATTGAGAGGAAAGCTGCTCCTACCTACCAGCTACACCTTTCCATGGCAGATAGGACTTCCTGCCACTTCTGGTATGAAATTAGAGCATCTAATGAGGGACAAATGGCATATTTAAGATACTTTCTTTTTTTTCCCCTGCCACAATTAGTGAGAGAGTAACTTCCAAATCATTTTGCCCGACACCTTTGGAAGTGACTGCAATTCCCAGACTGCCAGTGGCAGCTGTAAAGCTGAGCTGTGAGTCTGCCTTCTGGGGGGCTGTGTACAGGAGTGGTACATCCCACAGGCTGAAGTGCCTGCTGGCAAATCAGAAATTCAGGAAAAGCTGAAGGCAACTCCTTACAATAAAGCCATGAGGACAGAAATCATGTGAAATGTGCAAGTGCAAATACAATTCCTTGTTCATCTTGGGCACACTCAGCATGCTAATGTCTCCACTGTTTTGTTCATTTGCTACCTGTTTTCTCAGTGCCCCAGGGCACACACTAGTAAAGACACAACCCAGCATAATCTAACTTGAAGTCTTAGAATGTTACAACACTTGCTGCAAAATGGTTCCCCAGAAAACACTTCTCTGAAATTTCTAGTTATTTAGAATGCTGAGCTGAAGACTTTGCTCTTTGGCATCAGGCTTACAAACTATTTCAGACACCACCTCTGCAGACACAGGACACAAAGCCTTTAGGAGAGTTAAAATCTTTAATTTCCACCCTCCTGGAAACCAGTATTCCCAGTTTCTCTTCCTGAGGTCAACTGCTATCATTAGGAAGAAATTCTTTGCTGTGAGGGGGGTGAGACCCTGGCCCAGGTTGCCCAGAGAAGCTGTGGCTGCCCCATCCCTGGCAGTGTTGAAGGGCAGGTTGGATGGGGCTTGGAGCAGCCTGGGCTGGTGGGAGGTGTCCCTGCCCATGCAGGGGGGTTGGAACCTGATGATCTTTAAAGCCCTTTCCAATCCAAACCAGTCTGGGATTCTGTGATGATTCACTGCCATGAGGATCTCGAGATACACAGCAGTGATACAGGCACAGAGAGAGGGACACAGACAAATGACCATTTGCTCAGCCAGGAACAAGCCCAGAGAAAAGAACAAAGGCACAAGAAGTGCCACAACATGGAGACAGCTTGCTCAGAGACAGACAGACAACCAGGCATCCTCCTGCAAAGCATTTCAGCACAACTGCTTCAATGCTTTGATTTGTAACAATTACATTTGAAAGACAACACTTTTGTTTAAAACAATGTAAGAAATCAATGTTCAAATCAATGTAGGAATACATCAAATGAATCATATAAATTCAATTGTTTAAATCAATGTGAGACTATAACAAGGTTGATTTTTTTTTTCCCTCCAATATTTTGTTGACCAAAATTAATTAGCTTTCAACAGAGAACTGAGAGAAGTGTTTGAGAGTGTTTGGAGGACCTGCAAAGGACTGGCTTTACTCTATGCCCAGCCTTGACTGAGATGGTCCTTTCTTGTCCCTTGCAGCAGTATCTTTTTTGAAGTCTACCCCTAACAGTGAAACCCCTGGCACTGGAGGAGAATTCAAATCCTGATATAAAATCCGGGGAGTGATAAATACTGAGAGCAATACCCAAAACTCTGCTTCAGATCCTAACTTTGGTGAGATAAAGAGCAAACAGCTGAAAACTTCTCCTAGGACTTGTTCCTGACCAGCTCCTGCTGCCGTGCAGCTGTGTTTGGCCACGTTTGTTTTACACAAGAGAACAACACTGAAACACAGAAGACCATGGGGATACTGGCCCAGGTTGCCCAGGGAAGCTGTGGCTGCCCCATCCCTGGCAGTGTTGAAGGGCAGGTTGGATGGGGCTTGGAGCAACCTGGGCTGGTGGGAGGTGTCCCTGCCCATGCAGGGCGGTGGGACTGGATGGGCTTTAAGGTCCCTTCCAACCCAAACCAATCTGGGATGGCATGAAATGACCAGCCCGTGCCCACGGGAATGTGCAGGTGAGGGGACCTGCCCCTCCTGCTTGGATTTCAACTGGGAGAGGGGAGATTTAGGTTGGGCATGAGGAGGAAATTCTTCCCTGTGAGGGTGGTGAGATACTGGCCCAGGTTGCCCAGGGAAGCTGTGGCTGCCCCATCCCTGGCAGTGTTGAAGGGCAGGTTGGATGGGGCTTGGAGCAACCTGGGCTGGTGGGAGGTGTCCCTGCCCATGCAGGGCGGTGGGACTGGATGGTCTTTAAGATCCCTTCCAACCCAAACCAATCTGGGATGGCATGAAATGACCAGAGAAGGTCTCTGCTGGAGGCCCACCTGTTTTATTGGAGAGGCGGAAGGACACCATCTTGTCAGGGATGCTGCAGACATTCCTCACCGAGGCGATGCAGCTGTAGTTGGCGTAATCCTGAGGTCGGAGGTTCTTCAGCTTCAGGATCTTTGTTTCTCCCTGCGAGCGCAAGAGAGAGCGTGAGGAAGGGACGGGGGCAGAGGAACCAGCAGGAACACACTGAGACTTTCAGGAGGCAAGAGGAAGATGAAGAGGGGACTAATTAGAAGCGGTGCAGAAAAAAGATTTTATTGAATCATGTTCAAGAAAGGCAGGTGGCACAACTTAAACCTCAGCCCCACTTATGTATTAAAGGTGAAAGAAAAGAGAGGAGCGAGGGGAGAATGGGTTTGACAGAGTCTTTCAAGTCACAGCATTGTTCAGGATAATGTATCTTAAGGTACAATCTATACGATGAAAAAAAATCTACAGCTACAGAAATCCTCCCGTTTGCCTTAGAAAATGAGCTGCTGATGGGTTTTATTTTTAGCCAGCACCAGAAATGATGGAGCAGGGGCCTGAACAGGATATGCAATGATGTTCTTTCAGATACAATCAAAAGAAAACTGGGAAATGTGAGATTCCCACTGCAGTCCTATGTGAAACGGGCAGTGCAGAAGCAGGAGCTCAGGGAAAAGGGAGCTGCTGAGGGATGTATCCAGAATGGTACAGCATTTGGAGCAACAGGAGTAATAAAAAGCTAAGAGGAGTGTTGGATACAAAATCCTGCACGCACAAAGATGTCATGGGACAGAGTGTGGAAGAAGAAAGCACTGGAGCTCAGCAAAGCACATCAGGGTGTCAGGCATGAGGATGTGACAGCTGAGAAACCATCAGATCAGTCTTTATGTATCAATACCTGCACATTATTCATTCTAGCATTAAAATAACAAACTTCCTTGAGCTTTCAATCTCCTCCTCCAGCTGGCCTCTTTCAAGCCTTTGCCTGCCTTTTAATGACAAGCTAAAAATGGATTATACTCAGACAAGGCTAAGGCAGCAGCCCAGCCCAGGGAGGCAGACACTTTGAAAGGCCTCACAAAGCATCAAAAGAGCAAACTTTGGAAGATGTTCTTGATCCTGTGTCCTGGAAGAGCTGCAACAACTTCTAATATTACCACAACTTGAGCAATGTGTTGAGTTTCTTTTCACAACATCATGTGCACCAACTGCCCAGGCCCACCCAAGGGCACACAAAACATGCCAGTTTGTGAAAATGTATGGAAAGAGGGAGCAAAGAACACTAAATGGGAAAATTCAGACAGGAAAAAAGTCTGCCTTTCTACTCTGCCTTTTTACTCTGCTCTGGTGAGGCTGCACCAGGAGTGCTGTGTCCAGCTCTGGAGCCTTCAGCACAGGAGAGACATGGAGCTGTTGGAGAGGGGCCAGAGGAGGCCACAGGGATGATCCCAGGGCTGGAGCAGCTCTGCTCTGGAGCCAGGCTGGGAGAGTTGGGGTGTTCAGCCTGGAGAAGAGAAGGCTCCAGGGAGACCTCAGAGCACCTTCCAGTGCCTAAAGGGGCTCCAGGAAAGCTGGGGAGGGGCTTTTTACCAGAGAAAGCGGTGATAGGACATAGAGGAATGGTTTTAAACTGGAAGAAATTCTTCATCTTGAGGGTAGGAAGGCACTGGTCCAGGCTGCCCAGAGAAGCTGTGGCTGCCCCATCCCTGGCAGTGTTGAAGGGCAGGTTGGATGGGGCTTGGAGCAACCTGGGCTGGTGGGAGGTGTCCCTGCCCATGCAGGGGGTTGGGACTGGATGATCTTTAAGGTCCCTCCCAACCTTCACCATTATGTGATTATATAAAAGAGACAGTCATGAAATCAAGCTTGGTAGCTTTGGAGCACAGGAACTGAAGTGCTTTGTATGTGCAATCAGTTCCACCAAAATTATGTGATTTAAGTACATAATTAAGCACATGATGATTTAGTGTTTGCAAGACCAAGCCACTGAAAGGCTGCTCCCAAAGGTCTTACTTGAAGAAGAGGCTTAGCAGGGCTAGAGATGGCCTGATCCATCTTACTGAGAACACAGCTACCAAAGTTGTTGAGAAATGCAGAGCATCTGCATCCCCTCCCATTCAATCCGAAGCTCTGGACTCCATGTTGAACTAACAATGGTATCTGGATCATGTCCCCATATTGCAAAGGTTTATAAAAATGTATATATTTTCTTCCTTGGTTTGGATAATTGGCCTAATTATGTCTAAGTGCATAATGATCGAAAATACAGCAGATTGAATCCTGTACTCAGGCAATTACTGTGTGCAATGAGGACAGTGCAAACTCTCAGGAAAAAATTCTGCACCAAGATTTTGGCTTTGAAAAGTTCAGTATTTCAAATACTCCCACAGAATGTGCACATGTGTTCAATTTTTTCTCCCCACGGCAGCTCAAGTAAGTAGATGACATTATCTGACTCATTACAAAAGACTTAATCTGTTGAAAGTTCAATGAGTCATTTGTATATGCCCAGTTTTCCAGGTGCCTTCTGTGATTTAATAAAACAAAAAAACCTCTGGAAAGAAAAAACTAGACCTTCTTGGGTACAACACCTCAGAAAATCTGTGTCACTACTTGTTTTCCTTTACACTTCACTTGATTTTCAGACTGATACTCCACCTTCGAATTAATCATCCAAAAATGCCACCTAGAATTCATCTCTCCTGATCTTCTGAAGCCACATCCCCTCTATCCCTCTTCACATCAGCTCCTACTGTCCATTACCTCTCCTAAACTGAACTGAACTGATGCAGTAGACATTTATGACTATTAAACTTTTCATGACATCTTTTCTTCTGATAAACATGTATCAGCTCTTGTAGACACACTGACAAGTTCCAGCCATTCAACCTGACCTCCCACAAATGTAAAAAGCTGTGGATAAGCCTTTAGCTATCAATGTGACCATGTAATTTATTAATTAACTGAATCCAGACTGAAGTTCTAGAAATACACCTAGTAGCAGAGAAAAATCTATGTGTTTTTAAAAATATTTGACCTAATCTCATGTAGTGCAATTCATTAGGTAAGTTCTTATTAGGTGATAGGGAAGGTAATAATAATCTTTTCCATTTTGAAATAGAAAAGAAAAAATCTCATGACAAGGGATACTCTGACTTTTTAATTAAAACATTAAAAAACCCCAGTTTACAAACTTGACTTCAAGGAAACAAGCCAGGAATTTGCTAAACTGGCTCCCTACATGTTAAATTAAAAATAATCTCATCACATTTAGGAAACCAACAACTCAACTATGTAATCTAATTCTCACCTCTGCAAGGTTCCAGGCTACATGTTTCTCAGTGAAATACCAAGCCAATGTAGCAATATAAAGCTGTCAAGTACAATAAAGGAAAAAAATGAAGCTGCTCTCAAATCATTAGTTGAAAATTATTTATGAAAGTTGTAGGTTGCTTTCCACTATGAAGACCAAATTACCAGGCAGTTTTCACCTCTGTCTTTATTCGTTATTGCTGGAGAGAATTTCCAAAACCATTTTTTTTCTCCCCTCTTTTTACCAACACCATCACACACTTATGTCCATTAACAATAGGATATGTCACCTTTTATTCTGAGGCTGTGCAAACGTGCTAACAATGAATTAATCTGATCTCATCTGACAGACTCTTCTGACTGCCCAGTCTGCCTTTGCAGCTGAGAGAATGAGCAGGAAGACCTAAAAAAGCCACTTCTTTTCTTTTTACCACCTCATCTTTTAAATATGTAATTCTGGAACAAAAAAAACTTCTATTCAAAGAAGAGAAAAGCAGAATAAAATAAATTTAAAAGAAGCCAACACAGGGAGTTGCCACAGAGTTCAGCCTCCTTGAAAAGGTTGATGGGCTGCAACTTCTGTGCAGAATCACTTTGCCTTGTCTGGGAAAGGAGCAGGGACCAGCAGTCAAACCAGAGGCTTGGGCTGGCAGTGCCCAAGCCAAATGACTTCAAAGGAGCTTCTGCAGACAGAGCTCACTCTGCATCTTCCCAGCATGTCCTATTTCATGACTTTACAAAAAAAATTGAATTAAAAGGCACCTTTTATATAAGGAAGCCTTCTAATAACATATGGGTGTGTTTGTGCCAGGGTGGTGCTATTTGGAGGGTATGCCAAGCACAAATACAGGTTGAGTGGAGAATGGACTGAAAATAGCCCTGAGGAGAAGGGCTTGGGGGTGATGGTGAATGAGCTGGCACCGTGCACTGGAGCCCAGAAACAACCCATGTCCTAGGCTGCATCCCCAGCAGCGTGGGCAGCAGGGCCAGGGAGGGGATTGTCCCCTTTTACTAAGCCCTCGTGAGACCCCACCTGGAGATCTGTGTCCAGTTCTGGAGCTGAGAGAGTTGGGGTGTTCAGCCTGGAGAAGAGAAGGCTCCAGAGAGACCTTAGAGCACCTTCCAGTGCCTGAAGGGGCTCCAGGAAAGCTGGGGAGGGACTTTGGACAAGGGCTTGTAGTGAGAGGACAAGAGGTAATGGATGAAAACTGGAAGAGGGGAGATTAGGAATAAATTCTTCACTCTAAGGGTGGTGAGACACTGGACCAGGTTTTCCAGGGATGTTGTGGCTGCTCCATCCCTGGAAGTGCTCAAGGCCTAGTCGGATGGGGCTTGGAGCAACCTGGTGTGGTGAGAGGTGTCCCTGCCCATGGCAGGGGGTTGGAACTGGATGATCTTTAAGGTCCCTTCCAGTACAAACCATTCAGATTCCATGCTCACATACCCACACCCCAAACCCAGCAGGGAAATGCAGGCAGATCTAGTTACAAAAAATCTGGTGCAAGTCACCTAAGGAAGGAAGAACTCCTGTGCCTTTATTCCTACCTGGGTAAAGAAGGGCTCATAAATCTCCACTCCTTTATCAGAGCCTTGCAGCAACACCTCTTGGCCGCGTCGCCAGCTGTACCGGACGGGCGGGTTGGAGTTGGCAACACACCTGAGAAACACTGTTCTCTCATAGTAAAACTGCTCTTTTGCTTCCCCGATGCTCTGGTGGACTGTTACTATTGGATCATCCAAATCTGGAAAGACAGGGGGGAGAAAAAACCCGAGGTAAGGTCAGGCTTCAGTGGACACTACGACAGTTTTCCGATGAGAAGGTTGTGCATCACCTTGGATACAAACCAACAGCAAACCAGAGGTAACACAGCTCTAAAAGCCACAAACTTTTGCAGCAGAATCCAGTTTCAGAGATTGTTTTCATCTGTACAGCAGAAATGGATCTTCATTTCCAACTTGGGCTTTTGGACATAATATATATCACAACAATATATGTGATATCAAAGATAACAACATCAATCCTATCTCTGTTGTCCCCACTAATACTTCAGGTTCATCTTTGCTGGTTTTGTACTTGTTTCTTGTGTCTGATTTTAATGTAAATGTGGCTTAGACAAAATAGTTTATAAAGCCTCAGAAATAAACAGACTGACTAATTTGCATCCTAACGGTAGGATGCACTAGAATATAAACCATGTGCAGGCAGCTGTTTTCCTTTAAAGCAACAATTTAATACAGTAATTGAATGCATATTCCCCTCTTCCAGTTACATGCATTTAGCTTCCAGTCAGTAAATTCATCCCAGACTTCAGAACATGCTTCCCTTCATTCATGTAAGGATATAATTGAATTACTTTCGCCACATCAACTTGAAGAAAATTAGATCCCCCCAATGGAATTCACTCATCTTAAATATGGAAGAAATAACAATAGTCCTTGGAATGTGAGTACACCTGATTAATTAACCTGTGCTTTACACCACCAGGAAGAAGTGGATTCCTGTTGGCAAGGTCTTACCACTGTTTATGATGAGCTTTCTCAGAAGGTATAATTACACCAAAGAAGGTAAAAAAAGAAACAAAGCAAGAAAAGCAGTAGCTTCTTTTACTAAGTACTACTTAAAATCACCCAGCCTCCAAATGACATGGTAAGCAATTTTTTGGTGAGCTTCAGGGAGAGGTGAAAGTGCCCAGAGGACTGGCAGCCACTGGCAAGTTGCTGCTCTAAGCAGGTTGCTCCCTGTGTTTCCCTGGCTTTGGTTTGGCTCCAACAGTTGCCCCCCCAACACGTGCAGCTCAGCCTTGACTGAAATCCTCTCAGAACCTCATCAGCAGTGCTTCTGGCTTAAAACGGGACATAAATAATGCTTAAGTAGGGCTTGATTACTCAGGCACAAATTTAACCCCTGTTTTGGAGTCTTGTGTGAGTAACCAAATGTCAGTTCACCCAATGTATTTGAGGCCACAATTCAGGGTGTGCAGCACGAGGTGCTCCAGCCTCAGCATGACCAATGGTTTCAAAGGGAACATGATGATGGTCCCCTTCCCAGTCCCTTTCCCAAGGTGCTGAAAACAAGGGCAGTCATTTTGAGGGAAGCATCACAAGCACTTTGCTCCCACGTCCTTTCCCCACGTGCAGACCAAACATCACTGCAGCCACCACGCTCTAGGTGTCTGTGTCAGATGGACCATCAGCACAGGAGTCCTTCAAAAAAGTGAGATTTTGGGAGCTGTTAAAAACTGGAGGTGTGGCAGGGGCATGTGGGATTATCAAAGGAAGCTCCTGGCTACCCATCAGAGCAGATTAGCATGTTTCAAACATCCACACTGAAAAGCAGTCCACACTTAAAAATTATTCTTTAGATGCTCACATTTTGATTTGCATAACAAGAATAAAGCTTGAGAGTCTGTTGATTAACTAGAAACAAAACCTGTTCCAAAATTTGGAATAATTCAAGCAATAATATCTTGTAATAGTGCATGGATTTTAAGTAAATGTTACCTTCATTTTACTCTACAAAACATTTAATTTAATACCATAGAAACAAATTATGAAATTGTTGCTCCAAATTAGGATGGCATTTTCTAATGAGAATTCATTTTTGCTTTAAAGGTTATTTTAAACCACTGCAGTGTTTGAAGAGGGAAGAGATTGCTGCAATGTTCTGTCTCCTACTCATGCAATAGAAAATACAAAGAAGGAAATTACCTTGCTTCAATTTCTAGGCCAAAACACCTGTTCCCTGCGTTTTGATGAGCAACAAAACACATTTTCCAGTGTTTGCTTATTAAAGCCCCTCCCCAGGCCACCAGCAAGGATGACTGGCAGCCAAGAACCTCCAGCACCGGGGCTGAGGACCACTCCTCCAACCTGTCACCCTTACTGCTTCCCCTTCGGAGGAATCCACCTGGATTCCAGTCCTGACTCAGCTCCACTTTGATGACGTTACTCAAGACTAGATGCACTAAATCATTTAAAGCCTAAAAAGAGGACTTAAAGCAGTTGTGAAGCCTGCCAGAGGAAGGTGGCAAGCAAGACCCTGACAGAAGGCAAGCTGAGGCTGACTGGCCAGGAGACAACTTGGCAGAAGAGGCCCTGCAGGTCCTGGTGGCTGAACAGGAGGTGGCTGAACACACTCCAGGCTGCAACAGCAGGAGTGCAGCCAGCAGGACCAGAGAAACTGTCCTTCCCTTCTAGCCAGCAGCTGTGAGGCAACATCCTGAGCACCCTGTTCAGGTCAAGACATGGACAGACTGGAGCAAGCGCAGAGGTGACCACCAAGATGATCAGAGGGCTGGAGAAGGTTCCATGCAAGAAGAGGCTGGGAGATCTGCATTTGGCTAGCCTGGAGAAGAGGAGATCTAATTTCTGGCTTCAACTGACCACCAGGAAGTTACAGAGAAGATGAAGGCAAACTCTTCTCAGAGGTACAGAGCAAGAAGACCATGAGCCAACAGCTACAAGCTACACCAAGAGAAATTCCTCCTGGTTATAAGTGAACACAAATTCCCCATGCAATCATACAAGTGCCCATATGTGGTACTGTTCTTGGAGACATTCAGACCTTGACTGGACACAGCCCTGAGCAACCTAACCTAACTGTGAAGTTGGCCCTGGTTTGAGCAGTAAGTAGGACAAGAGGTCCTTTCCAATCTCAATTACTCCATGACATGGAGATTTAAGCTGCAAGAGAGTAGAGATTTAGATTTGATATTAGAAAGAAATATTTTATCTAATATCCAGTGAGAGCCTGGCCCAGGTTGCCCAGAGAAACTGTGGCTGCCCCATCCCTGGCAGTGTTGAAGGGCAGGTTGGATGGGGCTTGGAGCAACCTGGTGGGAGGTGTCCTTGCCCATGGCAGGAGGATTGGGACTGGATGGGCTTTAAGGTCTTTTCCAACCAAACCAAGTCTGTGATTCCATGGTCTCATGAGCTCTGATGCCACCACATCCTTGCTCTGCCTGGTCTCTTGCAATGGATCCATATTGGATGTGTGTTCACCCCCTCTACAAGACAGAGAAGCAGGCACCCTCTGACCACATGGCACTGTCCTGTGCCAGGGGGTGTATTTCGGTCAGAGTATAAGGAACCCTGAGAGACATCAGTGTTGGGAATGCCCTGCAGCAAGACCTCTGCCAAAGCAGTGAATTAATAGCAGATTTGCACGGCAGAACTCGCCTGATTTTTCCATCAGCAGTGCTGGAAAGATCTGGACAGCTGCATGGAAGCAAAAGAAGCAGCACTAATAGGAGACAAAATCACACTTGCAATTGTTGTGAGAATTCACTGAGCACTCAGCTGACAGCCCTGCTGCTGGGCAGGGGGGGACAAATGTTCCATTGGGTGTTTATATAAGGCTGCCTTGCTCAGGCAGTGTGAGAGCTGCAACCACAACACCAAATAGGTGCTTTTGAAAAGTAATATTGCCCAGGTCTTGTGCAGTTATTACAAGGGAGGCATGAAACTGCCTAACTCACTGCCTGGACAGCTGCTTTAAAGTCACCTGATCTCAGTGGTATTAATGCCACCAGCTTGTCCAAGCTCTCCAGAGCACTGGTTTCAATGTCTAATTGAATTGTTACTAATTGATATTCAAATTTCCAAATAGGCTTTTTAAAATAAACAACCCGATGTAAAGCTCTGTGCATATGTGTGAGGATCTGTGGGAGTTTGTGCCCTCAAAGCTTTGGCAGAGCCAGGGACTCATCAGTCTGGGAGGGAAGCCATGGGCTTCAGGTATTGCACAGCACTGACTTGGGAAGAGGAAAGAGAGAAAATCACTCCAGAGTCAGGGAAACCTGACTGCAACAGAGAGAGATTGAGCACTGGAAAGCACTGAATTTTTGAAGTGGTTTACAACAGGGAAAAAACCAAACCACAAAAATTTCCATTTGGGGTTGATGAAATTACAAAGAGTTAACTAACTAATCATTCTTGAAATTAAACTGAAGTCATGGGTGTTGCTATGCAGTTAAAACCTATTAATCAAAATGAAAATAATTACAGAAGTATGTTTTCCACAGAGGTTTATGCCACCATTAGGTTCAATTTTTCAGTCTTTAATCTTTGAATTGAACCAAACAGTTTCCAAAACCCAGATGGCACAGGCATGCTAAACACTGTATTGGAAGAATTCCCTTCACACATCCCTAAGCTCTCAAACAAACAGAAAAGTCACTAGGAGATGTTCAAAATGGGTCTAAATCTAAATGCACTTGAGTTGCATCATGATGGTCAGAGATGTTGGTGAGGAAGGTGCACACAAGTGTGGGGGATGCTGGTAACATCCTCTGTGCTGGACTGCAAAGCACTGGAGGCATCACACCATCCGTGTGTAGGAACCACAGACCCATGAGCCAATAATGTGCCCCCACAGCCAAGAGGCAGTGCCATCCTGGGAGGCATTAAGAGGAGTGTGACCAGCAGGTCAGGGAAGTTCTCCTCCCCCTCTGTTCTGCCCTGGGGAGGCCTCACCTGGAGCCCTGTGGGCAGGTCTGGGCTGCCCAATTCAGGAAGGACAAGGAGGTACCAGAGAGAGTCCAGCACAGGGCACTGAGATGCTGAAGGGACTGGAGCACCTGCCTGTGAGGAAGGGCTGGGAGAGCTGGGGCTGCTCAGCTGGAGAAAAGGAGGCTGAGGGGGGATCTGATGAGTGCTGATCAATATCTACAGGGTAACAGGAGGATGGGCCAGACTCTGCTCAGGGGTGTCCAGGGACAGGACAAGGGGCAATGGGCACAAA